CAGGTTCCTGAACGCCGTTCTGAACTGTGTACTCTGTCTGTGTGTCTCAACTCTTGTGTGTGTGTGTGTGTGTGTGTGTGTGTGTGTGTGTGTGTGTGTGTGTGTGTGGGCATATCATTCTGGGGGTCATGCTCGCTGACCTCAGCCTGTTGTGTATGTAGCCTTATCGACGACATTCCATATCTGGTTAAAATTTGTTTCATGCTCGTTTCCTTTTAACCTTTGACCTTGAGTTCAATTACTTAGAAAGAGCCGTAACTTGCACAATCTCGCTAAAACCTTTCCATTTGCATCCCTGGTGCAAGAAAGGTCGTGGGTGGCTCCTTCACTCCCCCCCCCCATACTCTCTACTTCGACCTTTCGGTTTAAGGTAACTTGACAAAACTCTACCAGGCTTGCCAAGGGGGAATGGTGCAGGTGTTTTAATTACTTCACATTTTGCACCATGAAATGTCCAAACTGATCATCAAACTACTTGAAACACATCGTGCACACTCTTTGTTAATAATTAGAGTCAGATACGCGAATAATATAAACATGCTTGAGCAAGCCATCAACAGGAGCCCTGGTCAGAGACAGGGCCGCGGAGAGTTGATCCTCGTAACCACCACAAGTTCTCTATTCGTGCAAGAAACCTGCCCACACAGGGCTCTGGGTCCAACTATCACCACACTAACAGTCAAACGCCGGCTAATCATACGCTTGCTGTTTTTTTTTTTTTCAAACCTCAATCCATTCAGTGTCAACCCCTACCCACCAACATTCCCACAACTCATAATATATTTTGTGATAAGAATGATGCTTGGTACATGACATCCAACGAAGAGAAGAGTTGCTATAGCCTCAGCCAGTCACAGCCATAGCCTCAGCCAGTCATAGCCATAGCCTTGACCATAGATAGCCTCAGCCAGTCACAGCCATAGCCTTGACCATAGATAGCCTCAGCCAGTCACAGCCTCGCCCATAGCCTCGGTCAGTCATAGCCATAGCCTCAGTCTAGGCCATAGCCTCAGTCTAGGCCATAGCCTCAGTCTAGGCCATAGCCTCAGCCTAGGCCATAGCCTCAGCCTAGGCCATAGCCTCAGCCATAGCCTCAGCCTCACTCATAGCCTTAGCCTCACTCATAGCCTTAGCCTCAGCCATAGCCTCGGCCATAGCCTCAGCCAGTCATAGCCTTAGCCTCAGTCATAGTCTTAGCCTCAGTCATAGCTTCAGCCATAGTCTCAGCCTCAGCCATAGTCTCAGCCTCAGCCATAGTCTCAGCCTCAGCCATAGCCTCAGCCAGTCATAGCCACAATAGGAGGAATACGGTACGAAACTCAGAGACCTACTACTTTTCAACTTCCACCAAAAAATATACTGTATATTGCCTTAACAAAAATAGAAACTTTCAAGAATCATTTGCGCAAATTCTTACAGGAAATGCCTGGTCCATCGAGCTGAAAAAGATATATGGGGGTGTGGTTGACTTTTAACAACAGCTTTAACAATCAAATTATCAGACAACGCTAATCCCGACAGAGCCTGGAAAGTAGAACAACTCTCGAAACCGAATACGGGTAAACTACAAGTAGGAACCAGCTGAACAGGTTAATTCGAACAGCAATCGAAAAATATATCATTTATTGATATACATCATTTAGGTCTCTGTACTCTTTACAGTTTTTAACAGAAGCGTGAGGAATAATGCCCGAAACGCTTTGCGTAATAGTGGCTTTAGGCATTGTATGTACTAGCTATACCTATAAGTTAAACAATCCTTGTAAATATTTATTGTATGTATGTACCTTACCTAAATAAAATTGTATTGTATTGTATTGTATTGTATTGTATAATAGGGGTCGGGCAGTTTTTTTTTATTATTATTATTTTCTACCACAGACGTGGCCACACATTTACAATGCTAACCAGCATATATACATTTTCTTCTGTCCTCCATGGACAGGGTGAAAGATTTGTCAAACATACAGTTCAGAGATTTATTGAACAACTACAGAAGGTGATCGTAGTGCTTTTAAAATGTTAGGCTCAGCTACATACGTAAATACATAGGGGGCGCCACACGCTGCATCTGCTGAAGCCGGTAATCTGCAGGGAACCACTGATGTAGAAGTCACGTCACCTTTATCTCAAGAGTGAGATGAAGGCAGCATTGTTCTCAATCACATCCAGATTGTTGACCGTCCCTCAGAGAATCATAATCATCTCTGGTGAGATCAACTTGGGGGTAGAAATAGCCTAAGCTACTCTATCCCTTTAAGATGTATTTCTTTCTTGTCTCAATAAACATATTTGAACTTTGAACTTGAGATCAACTTACCAAGTATCTGCAGCGTCGCCAGACGAGTTTTGTGACCTTTTTGTGTAGCCAGTGATCACTTAACAAGGCCACGAAATGCTATATTGATTTTCTTAGGTTATTAATGTGCCTTAATATCGAATGGGGTTGAATTGGAGCCGACATTTGCTGGGCATCACGGTGGGGACTACCGGACTATATGGCAAATAGAGGCTTGTGCCCCTCTAAGGTTGAATAGTTGAAAGAACAAAAAAAACTTTAGAAATTAGCTATAGAGTTGGTTGATGAGTGCAACTGTCTGTTATCACTGTGACTGAGTGAGGTTTGTATGAAACGTGACTTATGTGGGAATAAGACACTTGCCATAGCAAGTTACTGTACCTGTTATAACTTCTAGAGAGTTGTGTAATTCGTGACGCCACCTGCAATAGAGGGAGGTGAAAGCGCTGTTCCTTCCGGGAGAGGACTGGGCAAGGCCATTTATGCCTGAATTTACCCGAGGGCTGCTCTGGTGGCCTTGACGAGGACAGGAAGCTGTCGGCTTTGTCAGACGTCCCCGATTTGTTTTATAATTTTATTGAGATGGATTTTGAAATTCAACAGTGTTTTGACATTTATGGCTTCAGGGGGTAAGCGGTTCCGCCCTGCTATAGATGATTACATAGTACATAATGCCCTGCTATAGATGATTACATAGTACATAATGCCCTGCTATAGATGATTACATAGTACATAATGCCCTGCTATAGATGATTACATAGTACATAATGCCTGCTATAGATGATTACATAGTACAGTACATAATACCCTGCTATAGATGATTACATAGTACATAATGCCCTGCTATAAATTGTTACTGCATAATGCTCAGCTGTAAGTGTTTGCTTAATCAAATTAACTTGTAAATTTGTCCTATTTATTGTAAAACTATGCATGTCCTCTTCCTGTAGACCTAAAAGGCATGTGGGCTATAGCATTTTCTGTGATCCTAATCATAGCAATTGATTTTCTGTAGTACATATGCCTCTGGTTACTGTGGCCTCTTAAGTTATGATGGCTATGAAGTTGGAGATCATTTATAATTTTGTTTAATGAAGTATGGATGAATCATGATAAAGTTTTTAAGAGAAATAACTGTATGTTGAGTGCGCCAGTGTACTCACCTAGTTGTACTCGCCTAGTTGTGCTTGCGGGGGTTGAGCTTTGGCTCTTTGAACCCGCCTCTCAACTGTAGATGTGTGTGTAATTGCCTAAGTGTAGTTACAGGATGAGGGCTACACTTTCCTGTCTTCCCAATACTCTTTGTCGTATAACGCTTTAAAACTACTGACAGTTTTGGCCTCCACCACATTTTCACTTAGCTTGTTCCAACCGTCAACCACTCTGTTTGCAAAAGAAAGTTTTCTAATATTTTTTTCGGCACCTTTGTTTCCTTAGCATGAATCTGTGTCCTCTTGTTCATGAAGTTGCTGGTTTCAGGAATTCCTTTTGGTCAATTTGGTCGATTCCTGTTAGTATTTTGTAAGTGGTGATCATATCTCCTCATTTTCTTCTATCTTTTAGTTTTGGCATATTTAACGCCTCCAGTCTCTCCTTGTAACTCTTGTTTTTCAGATCCGGAAGCTATTTTGTAGCATGCCATTGCATCTTTTCCAGTTTATTTATGTGCTTCTTGAGATTTGGCCACCATACAACTGCTGCATATTCCAATTTTGGTCTCAAAAAAGTCATGAACAGTTTCTTTAGTATTTCACCATCCATATACAGTAATTAAAAGCAAGTCTGAGTTGGAAAGTGACGCATACACTCCTCTCACAATGTTCTGTGTGGTTCCTCTGGCGACAACTTACTATCCAAAACCAGCCCTAGGTCTCATTCTTTATTAGAATTCTGTAATTCCTCTCCACATACAGTAATTTGTAAGTTGTGTGTGGCCTATTTTCTCCGAATCTACATTCCATAACATGGCATAATCTGTAATAATTCATAATTCTCGAAATCCATTCTATCATTTTTCTGGCTGACGCCAGAAAGATGATAGGACGGATTACGAGAACTTTCAAATCTTAGGGATCCCATCACAGTGGTTGTACTCTTCAAATCACTTATGCTGTCCTGTCTTGAATACTGCTCAGTACTCATTTCCCTCCTTCAGAACAGGAGAAATTGCTGAAATAGAGGGATTACAGAGAACATAAACGGCATACATAGACGCTATAATGCACCTAAAGTATTGGGGGCAGTATCTCAAAGATCTCCAAATGTACTCACTAGAAAGGAGATGAGAGAGATATCAAATAATATACGTGTGGAAAATACTGGAGGGCCAGGTGCAGATTATGTATATTGATACAGACTAACAAACTATAATACAGACTATAATATGCATTCTATACAGACTATAATATATGTATTCAAAGATTCCAATTTCAAATTTTTTTCATTTTAATGTATTATCCACACAGGCTAGAAGAGTTACTGTATTCCCAAATTTTTTTATCTTGGTGGAACCCCAGAGATATTCTTAAATATATTAAGCAACACTCAACCTATGTAAATGTACATGATATATAAATAAAGTAAATAAAATAAATAAATACCGGTAAATAAATAAATAAATGTTCAGTACTGTGTATGCTTTGTTTGCAGTTACAGTATATATTCTCACAAATTCTAACTAAATTCTATTTGTTCTTTTCAGGCAAGCCATCCACAAATGGTGCAGGAGGTGGAGGCAGGGGAGGAGGAGGGGGAGGAGGGGGAGGAGGAGGAGGAGGGAGGATGATGAATGGAGGAGCACCTCAGCTTGGACTCATAGCAGATGGGGTGAACAGATTGAGACCCACAGGGCGATTACCGGCCAATTCCTGTAAGTACATTTTGCCAACCTCGTGACGTTGTAAAATCTGATTTTGAGTGCATTTCATGTATTTTTGGTCTAAAATTATTAGATGTCTGTGGTAGGACATGGTGTAGGTGTGGTGTCTGTGGCTGTGCTCATCTGTACTGAGCTGCTAAACACCTCAAATGATATGGTGGAAGTGCTGATAGTCAAAATAGAGATCCTAAATGTAGTTGTTGTCCTTGTATATAAGTCACCGGAGGCAAACCCTCAGCAGTTTAAAGACCAACTAATGAAAATAGAACACTGCTTGGAAAACCTCACAAATCCAGCTCCGAACATCATCCTGCTTGGGGACTTCAACCTACGGCACCTGAAATGGAAGCACCTGGCTAATACAGTAATATCAGAAAGAATACCAGGAAGTAGCCTAAATGAGCAGGCACATGCAAATGACCTGCTACGGATGTGCGATAGGTTTGCCTTAAACCAGCAAATAGTAGAACCAACTAGGAAGGAGAACACGCTGGACCTCATTTTCACTAATAATGATGAGTTGATCGGGAACATAATGATTACAAATACCTGTTACTCAGATCACAACTTAATTGAAGTTCTGACAACCATGGGAAATGGACCTTCAAAACCAGTCCAGATTCCCGGTGGAGGAGATTTCAGCAAATTCAACTTCAATAATAAACGGATAAACTGGGAGCAAATAAACCAGGACTTCACAGAAATAAACTGGGAAGAACAGCTAGGAAATACAAACCTGAACGAGTGCCTGGAAAAAATATGCTCAGTAGCACTAGAAATATGTTCAAACCGCATACCCCTAAGAAAAGAGAGAAAGAGATGCAGATTGGAACGGGAACGTCGTTCCCTATATAGGCGAAGAAAACGAATCGCGGAACAACTTGAGAGTCGCACCCTATCTCAAGAACGGCGAAGAAGGTTAGGTAGAGAAATAGAAACAATTGAACTCAAGCTACAAGAATCATACAAAACCCAGGAGAGGCAAAGAGAGCAAAAGGCCATCAGTGAAATAGAGAGAAATCCGAAATATTTTTTCTCCTATGCAAAATCAAGATCAAAAACCACATCTAGTATCGGGCCCCTGCGAAAGGGAGATGGAACTTTCACAGATGACAACAAAGAAATGAGCGAGTTACTGAGGAAGCAGTACGACTCTGTTTTCAGTGAGCCATTAAATGCACTAAAGATTGATAACCCAAATGAATTTTTCATGGATATGATACCAACATCAAATCACATATCAGACGTCGCCCTATCCCCACTAGATTTTGAAGAAGCCATAAACAGTATGCCTATGCACTCTGCACCAGGCCCGGATTCTTGGAACTCCATATTCATCAAGAACTGTAAAAAACCACTATCGCAGGCCCTTCACATTCTGTGGAGACAAAGCCTAGATACTGGCGTTATCCCTGACATACTAAAAACAGCAGAGATAGCACCACTCCATAAAGGAGGAAATAAGGCAGAGGCAAAAAATTACAGACCGATAGCACTAACATCGCACATCATAAAAATTTTTGAGAGAGTGCTAAGGAGTAAGATCACAAAATACATGGAATCACAGCATCTCCATAACCCCGGACAACATGGTTTCAGAACAGGGCGCTCTTGCCTGTCGCAGTTGCTGGACCACTATGATATGGCATTAGATGCTATGGAAGACAAACAAAACGCTGATGTAATTTACACAGATTTCGCAAAAGCTTTTGATAAATGTGACCATGGTGTTATTGCACATAAAATGCGTTCAAAAGGAATTACCGGGAAAATAGGCAGATGGATCTACAATTTCCTGACTGACAGAACCCAATGTGTAATAGTCAACAAAATAAAATCCAGCCCATCAACCGTGAAGAGCTCAGTCCCCCAGGGTACTGTGCTTGCTCCAGTACTTTTTCTCATCCTCATATCGGACATAGACCAGAACACAACCTATAGCACTGTATCATCCTTTGCAGATGACACTAGGATTTTCATGAGAGTTGGCAACAGAGAGGACACGGCAAACCTCCAATCAGAAGTAGATCAGGTCTTTCTATGGGCTACAGAAAATAATATGGTATTCAACGAGGAAAAGTTTCGGCTCATGCGCTACGGAAAAATTGAAAATATAAAAACAGAAACCACGTACAAAACGCAGGCAAATCATAACATAGAACGAAAAGGCAATGTAAAGGACCTGGGTGTACTCATGTCGGAAGACCTTACCTTTAAAGAACACAATAAAGTAGCCGTCGCAACTGCAAGAAAAATGACAGGTTGGATAACAAGAACTTTTCACACTAGAGATGCTATACCGATGATGATACTTTTCAAAACGCTTGTGCTCTCTAGAGTGGAGTACTGCTGCACAATGACAGCCCCTTTCAAAGCTGGAGAAATTGCTGACCTAGAGAGCGTGCAGAGATCCTTTACTGCTAGAATCCACTCAGTAAAACATCTAAACTACTGGGACCGACTAAAGAGCCTAAACCTGTACTCCCTTGAGCGCAGGCGGGAGAGATACATAATAATTTACACGTGGAAAATAATTGAGGGGCTGGTCCCAAACCTGCACACAGAAATAACACCACATGAGACCAGAAGACAACCAAGGATGTGCAGAATACCCCCGTTGAAAAGCAGAGGTGCAACAGGTACTCTGAGAGAGAACTCTATCAACATCAGAGGCCCGAGACTGTTCAACACGCTTCCACTACACATAAGGGGCATAACTGGCAAACCCCTCACAGTGTTCAAGAGAGAACTGGATAAGCACCTCCAAAGGATACCTGATCAACCAGGCTGTGACTCATACGTCAGGCTGCGAGCAGCCGCGTCTAACAGCCTGGTTGATCAGTCCAGCAACCAGGAGGCCTGGTCGTCGACCGGGCCGCGGGGACACTAAGCCCCGGAAGCACCTCAAGGTAGCCTCAAGGTAAGGTAGGTAGGAATATGGGAAATTTTATTTTGTCATGTTTTTTTCTTTATCTTTCTGACTGGTTGCCATTCAGTATTTTGAACACCTCATCATAAATATTTGATACGGTCAACATTTAGGCTATGTTTGATAATAAAACTGAACTTTTATCATTGCTTGAGAGTGTACCTTAGTGGAAATTATTGATATTTAAATGATTAAGCCTATTGTGTTCCGAGATTGAGAATTAGTTTCATAGGCAGCAGCGAGTCAATAATTTTATCATCAATGAGGTCATCATACTGATCACGTACAAACCGAAAGAACTGACTGAGAAAATGCTAAAGGAGTACAGTACAGTATAAACATTTTAGGTGTTGCTGGGCCTGAATGTTAATGGTTGGGAATGTGCCAATAGGCCTGAGCGTTTAATGTTAATAAATATTTCATTGCTATTTAAAAAAATAGGTTACATACTGTATTGACAATTTAAATTTTTAATATTGATGCAGAAAACACTAACTTGACTGGTGTATGTTGTCTGCCACATGGTGAAATGTAATACTGTATGTATTACTATACCTACAGCCTAAGGTGTTCTCTTTCTTGTCCAGTTCTCTACATGGTATACGTTATATACATGTCAGTGATACATGATTGTTGTTTAGTTCTGCTTGCCTGTGCTTAGGCATTGTAGGTTATAATGAAACTGTCTATTTGCAAGCCTGTCTTATTTAAAATTTAAAAGATTCAGGAAATTTCATCATACAGTATCTTTTAATTTGACAGCCGAAATCACAAGAGTTGGAAGTTAATACTGTACTGTGCCAAAATTTATCAGGATAAGATTCCCCTATTTAAAAAAAAGTCTTTTATTAAATTTTTTGTTTTTGTTTTCAGCGGCGAATAGAAGTGCGCCATTATTACCTCCAGGAAGAAAACCTTCGCCAGTTGTTCCAGTACGAGACGTGTCGTTGGATTCTCAACACACAACAGACAGTAACAGTATACCGCCTAGTCCAAAGGTTTGACTTGATTGTGATCTACAGTTTTTACTTAATTGACATGTATAGTACAGTATGATGGATTTGTTTAATGTGCTAATTCTGGCACAGGTCATGTTAGGTCAGCACTGAACAGTGGTGGTATGAGGAAGCAACCAGTCATTTGTGGTTTGTGCTTCAGAAATAACTATATCGGTGGAGTGTTGGATCTACATAAGAGGTACCCTTTGCTTGACCCCGCTTTATTTAGGCCTTATGCTTATGGGTTATCTAATTTATCTTTTCATACCTATGTGATAGAGTATTGCACATACTGTATACCATACTGGCAAATAATCCTATACCAATTGTATATAAAACCAACAATGTTAAAGTGTTTAAGCCTCAAAATTAGTTAACATTATTAACATCAACAACTTCTTTCTAAAGAAGGCAGGAAGCAGGTGTCTGCATTCTCTCTCTCATTAGTGATAATTTAGTCAGAGGCTACTTTTGACAAAATAGATGAAACTTTGAGGTGACAAATCAATTGAACTATCCTTGCATATATTTGAATTTAAATTAAAAAATGGTGAAGGTCATCACTGTGTGTATTGTCACGAATCAGTTGGAAACTGATTAAGGGCCATACCCTTCTGTAACTAACATTTATAATTAGGGCTTGAATTATGGAGAGTTAGGGTGGTAGAACTCCTTGACTAAAACTGTGACCTTGACTGGGTGAAAGATAACATGTACAGTAATCTTGAAGTGTGCACCTGTTATCTGTACCAAAAATGTACAGTGTGTATTCTGCAGTAAGTATATACTGTAATGTTACACTTATTTTGTTTTTATATGTTTCCAATATTTGGAGCTTGTGCTTTGGAGCTAATTTACTATTTTATCATTGTAAAATTAAATTTGGGTAATTCAAAATGTTTAGATTTTTTATACTGTACTACAGTATATTTTGCAAAAAAATTTAGAACTATTATTCTTGCTACATAACAATTTCTCCTACAGCCTAGTAGTAAGAGTAATCCAGCCCCTCCACCACCCCCTGCTACGTCGAAACCTTCTTTTCCAAATGATCGGCCTGCGAGAGGCCCTCTTCCTGTGCCTCCGAACCCTGCTAGTAAACCTGCACCCCCTAGACCGCCTATGGTAAGTAAGCTATTGCACTCCTGTAGTATGTAAGTGCACATAGTACTTGCTTTCAGCTTATTGCAACAATTAGGTTTTGGAGCATAGTGAATCACTACTTTCTGAACTGTTTCCCTGAACACTCCCTAGGGACTCGGGACATTTCCCCAAACCTGATTAGGATCTTTAAAAATTGTCTTATCAGAGATAAGTTAAAGTTAAAGATAAGTAGATAAGATAAAGATAAGTAGTTAAAGGAGACAGTGGTGAGTTCATCATGAGCATAAGAATAGAGGAGACTACAAAAGGCCTATTGGCCTGCGAGGCAGCTTCTGTGCATACCATCCCCCACACATTCATACATGTTTAACCTCTTTGAACATCCCAGTGATCCCACATCTATTACATTACCCAGTACAGTACTGTACTGTAATTTGTTCCATGAATCAATAACCTTATTGTAAAATCACTATTTACCCAGATCTTTTCTGACTTAAACTGATTTGTATTCATTGTCGTGTGTTCTATTTTGTATTGACATTTTTAGCACGTAAATTAATATCCCATTTGTTATACCACTTCATTCATTTGTTTACTTTAACTATGTTACCCATTACTCTTAACTTTTCTGGAGAAAGTTAATTAACCTTTGCTAATCTCTCTTCATAAAGATGGTTTTTAATTCCTGAGATTAATTGTGTTATTCTTCTCTGTACGTGTTCAACTGAATTTATGTTCATTCTGTAGTAATGGGAGCAAAACTATAAAGTTTATGAAACCTTCATGTAGTGTAAGTGTTCCAATTCAGTCATGAGCTCTAGTACAAAGAAAATGGAAGGTTCTGGCCAATAGTTTCATCTGGTCAAGTGGGATGACAATGCTATCATGATATACTGGGTGCAGAAATGTGTGTGTTATTGTTTGCACCAATTAAAACATAATAAAAGTGGCTAAAGAATAGTGGAAAATAGCTTAGATCATATTGTTTCTGAAACTCCTCTGCTGTGGAAGGTAATTTAGAGTTAACTGTTCTGTTTTATAATAATAATAATAATAATAATAATAATAATAATAATTTGTTTAGGAACAGTACATAGTTGCAGTGTTACAGTACAAACATTCTGTTACATTTAAAGATAGAGGTAGTACATACAATACCTAAAGCCACTAGTACGCATAGCGTTTTGGGTTTTAGCAGGATTATGCTGTATTGTAGTGATTAACAGTGTCTGTTACACCTCATTTGTTTGAGAATGGAATTAAGTTAATTTATTTGTTGCCTAAAGTACTGTACACTGTATTTGTAATATATACATACTTTCAATATTTTATTGAAATTACATAGGAGAAGGTATATTTTAGGAATATTGCATCTCTGATCATAAATATCAGGGGGGATGTGCAATAGATAATTTACGGTTGACATTCTTGACTGGCGATGACTGTAAAGCTTTAAATATGTATTTACCTAGTTTGTATTGCTTTGTAGTTGCTTTATGTATCATCATTTGAATACAGGATGAAATTCCCACTTTGATTTCCTCTGAAAGTGGGTATCACCCAGCCCTTCCAAGTAAGCCAGTTTTAATAAACAAGCCATCTGTTGGAAGCAAACCAGCGCCACCCAGACCCCCCACTGGAACAAAGCCAACACTTCCACCAAAAGGGTCGGGACTACAGGTGAGTTAGGGTTCGAGTACGAGTTAAAAGTATTAACTCGATTGCTAGATTATATCTTATTGGAAGGGTGGGGGGTGTTCCCTGTGGTTTTTGTACCCTGGATCTTGCCTTGTTGCTGCAAGTGCTTTATCTTCAGGCCAGAGGTTTGGAACTAGAAGGACAGTACAGTGTACAAGGGAGGTAGTTACAGGAATTTTAAAAAGAAAAAGGGCCTGGGAGTGGATGTTGCACCGGTCATAACACAGTCTACACATTTACAGAATAAAGTCGGCAGCTTTCAAAAACCAAACAATAGAATCCTGCAAAATAATATGCAGGCCAAATTAAGCATTTTTAATTTGGCTTTCAAATCTAAAGTGATTTAATGTTTAAATCAAATCAAAGTCTTCTCCTAATTCAGGGCCTTGAATCAGGCCCAGGCTAGTTTTCCTCTCATTTTAATACCTACATTTGATCGCTTCTTATGATTCAGCTCTTTTTCAGATCTTTTTATTTTCTCCGACCTATCTTCATTCCCTTACACATATTGGGGTTGAACTCTTGTAGTCTTTGCTATTCGGCATTTTGTCAAGGTCTTAAAAACAAGTGTGTGTGTGTGGGGTGGATGCTGTTGTGTGTGTACATGAATTAGAGGGGATCAGGGGGGGGGGGGGGGAGGGATTTCCAGTCAGAGATGTCTCGGTCCTACCTTACTATTTTATGGGTGGATTTTGCTGTATGTCATTTGACTTTGAATTTTTCAGACACTGTTCACTGTTTTATGGGTAGTCTTGTCTGGGAGAAATCTCTTTGTCATTGGGAAATTATGGTAAATTTTTAGAATCCCTTGTTGTGCTTGTCTCATAAACTAATGTTCATGATATAGAAGTTTAATTTTAAATATGTAGGAATAGTTTAGGAATATTTAATGTGTGAGAATTGTGTGGACTCTGGTAATGAGATCATGTAACATGATAATATTAAATAACTTATAACATATCATTATAAAATGTAAATTTTTTGTTACAGCCAAATGGAAGTACTCCACCTTCTAGTAAACCTCCAAGTCGGTCTGAGAGTATGAGAGAATATCGAACTCCAAGTGAATCAGAATTCCAAAACCAAAACAATAGTTATTCAGGAGAGGACTCTCTCATGCCATCTCGTACCCTTCCAACTCCCTATCACCATAGAACTGCTCCAGGTGGGCCTGGTGCAAGCCTTGGGTCTATTCGCCCTAACACGGTTGGGCGCCAAGGGGGTGCTAGTATTGTGAAATCTTTGACACGCCCGCCTTCTGAGCGACCACCACCTCCGCCCAATAGACCAAGTGTTCCTCCACCAAGTCAACCCCCTCCACCTCCACCACCAAACAGACCAATTCCAGTTCCTTCAGCATCTTCAAAACCTGAGGTAATTCTGAAAATTCATACCACTGCAGATTATCATTATAATTTCTATGTATATACACTATCTGACTTCCCTCACGAGCCTCAGGCAGCTCTGTTAATAAATTTAAATCTATGACTTCTTGTTCTTGAAGTTCCAGGAATTTTTCCCTATCAATTTTATCGATTCCCGTTACTATTTTGTATGCAGTGATCATATCGCCTCTTGTTCTTCTATCTTCTAGTCTTGGCATATTTAATGCCTCTAACCTCTCCTCATAGTTCTTGTCCTTCAGTTTTGGGAGTAATCCAGTGTGTGCTCACCTAGTTGCGCTTGCAGGGTTTGAGCTCTGGCTCTTTGGTCTCGCCTCTCAACTTTCAATCAACTGATGTACAGATTCCTGGTGGGTTTCGATGGGTTTCTTCAGAATGGTTGTCCTCCTCCCTTGTTGGGTTGTGAGTGCAGGGTTGTAGACCTGCTCGGACGAGGTGGTCCTTGATAAACTTAACTCGTCTTTAAGCAATCATTGGTGGATCTTGCAGGAAATTTTCCCAAGAAGGGTGGTCACTGTATGTCTCCCTCATCCAGGTTCATACATTTGTGAGTTTCTGTTTTAGTTTCCCAGTGAAACCAGGAAAGAACAGGGTAGGGAGGATCCATCTCCTATCCTCCAACCGTGGGGGCTGGGGGAGCCTGAGAAGTTGATCTCTGGTCTTCCCGTGTAGTTTCTCCTGGGCGTGGTTCAGTGTTTCCTCAGGGTAACCTCTTTGCCGGAATATCTCTCACAGGTCGTCTAGCTGGGGGTAGGAGGTTTCGTCCTTGCTGTTTATTCTTTTAAGGCTTAATCATAGGGAGAATGGTAATGATTTCATTAGCGCTAGCAGAGGGCTAGCGTATGACATGAGTCGATATTCAGGCATGTGTGAAGATTCGTAGATTTGTAATATGCCTTCGTGTTCAGGTGTCGGGTTGTCTTATCCACGTACTCTGTGGTGTCCAGGAAATTTATTGTGGTGTCTTCGTGTTTTAGGGTAAATTTTATGTTTCTGTGGATTGTGTTCTCCCAGGCAAAGAATCCCTCTAAATGTGGGAGTTCGCCTACCATGACTCCAAAGATATCATCTATATATCTGTAGTACACTGCCGGGGCCTCCTCTCTGTGGGATCTGTTCTTTTCAAATACTACATGCATAAATATGTCGGCAATAGCTACGCTGTTGGACGCTCCTATGGCAGTGCCCTTCATCTGTCTATATGCCTTACTATCAATGCAAGGAGTGTGTCCCTCATTACATGGAGTATGGCTTCCTCAAATAACTGTGCAATAACTAAGGATTTGAAATGTCATGGAAAAATTAGTTGTAATGGCTGGTATATAAAGTCTAGTTTTTGTTGTTAATAATGTAAATGTTTCTCTTAGTTAAAATACGTTTGTTTTATTTGTATTAAATTTTGTTTTATTTGTAAGTGTTTGAGAGTATGTTAAATTGAGTATTAGTAAATGTGTATACTTCTGTGTGTGTAAAGTTTTCCTGTGCGTTTCAGAAGCTCGTGCTTCAAAGTTCGTTCCCTTACATAGTGTGTATATGTAAGTAAATCACCAGACTTGGGAGAGAGACTACTAGGTAAACACAGGGTGGCCCAGTCACAAGCTGTAACCCTTGCAGGTTAAAACCCTGCAAACAAGGAAAACAAAACTATTGCTTTACTATTTGTTCTTGGCAGATACCTCTTCACTTTATGAAAGTGGGAACTAGAATTATAATAAAGATGATGGAAATGTTAACTGGCATATTCTCTCTTTTTGACCAAGATTAGTAGGAGGGAAATATGTAGTGGAATTTGCTCAAGTGTTTGTGTATCAAATGAATTAGTTTAATCAATTTCTTTGAAATGATTTTCAATGGATAGTCAGTTTAATAAATACTGTACTTTGAACATACAGTACTTAAACTGTAGTTTTGAAAATATTTTGTAAAGTTTTTATTTTTGTATATTCCTCTTTAGCCACCTGGCACTGCACCACCACCACCGCCCAACAGAGTATCGTCACGCCATTCAGGTAAGCGCTTCCTGTCTCACTTTGCCACTCTTCCTTCAAGGCTTTCACATAGCAAAGTAGATAAATGTGTCTCGGAAATCTCTCTCATGAACCAGATTACCTTCAGAGCCCAGTCAGTGGATCTACTAAACCTTGGTTATCAGCATGAGGAATTCGATGCCTTCTCACAGAATCAGTCTTTGGATTGTAAAGCATGTGCTCTTGAGGCTCGGGGAGAGCAACACTGTGAGGCCTGCCACCAGGAAGAGTATCAAGAAAGAGAATGTCCCTATTGTATTAAGCATACTCTCAGTCGAGGAGCAGCAACACAATATGACAACTTTGAGGAGAAGACTGTGTCATGTTTTACTGCTTGCACCCCGAGATCGAAGAAAAGCCATGGAAGTAAAAATTTTAAAAAGGACTAAAAAAGTATGAAAGGAGCTAGAAAAGCAACAATGAACTAGTGTTAAAGCTGAAATATAGTAATAAATATGATCTATAATTACCATTTGCATATACGTATTTGTGTGTGTTAGCTTTTGTGGGGTAAGAGCCTCTTGTAAATTTGGTAAAATAGTTCTTTTACTCTGAAAGGCTTCAGCACTTGAAACAAATGAAAGGAGCAATTTAAATTTCAAAACTTAACTCCATGGTAAGAATTGCACATTTATGCTATTCTGTTTAGAACTGTTTTTACTCAAATTGTTTTCTCTAATTAATGTTACTATTCACATCTTGTTTACTCTTATGCATTCTCTACCATCTGTGGGCCCAGCTTATGAGGCATACACCATATATTGTCACCTCTATCAGGCATATTACAATCTCTTTTACTGTAAGTTGCAATAATGTCTTGTGGTAGGTACAGTATACATAGCACAGTAAGTTTTGAGTAGGGTAAACTAAGTGACTAATAATTCAAGCCTTTGGTAATATTTAGCTCGTGAGTGCGTGCGTGCGTGCGTGTGTGTGATGAACTTCACACTTATGCCAAATATAGTTGGATAAAGGCTACCCATTATTGTATGTTTTTGTGACCATTCTGTTGGCACGCTGCCTGCTTTTTTAGAAGTACTGTTCTGTAGAGGCAAAACATAGGTATGCTTTATAATCTTGAAATTCATATTTAATTCATATTCTTTGAACGAGGTTAAACAAATGATGTGTGACTCAAAAAGATGGAATTTGTGCAAATGAAGATGAGAATAAAGTGAGTCATGTAAGGAAAGAACTGGTGCAATGGAAATGCTGGTTAGAAAAAACACGATGCAGCTACTGGGCTACAAAAATGTTAGTGCTGAGAATGATTTATAATTGGAAGGTATGAATGTGAGGTAATCAGAAGTTAGAACTGTAGAATGGAAAATGGAGAAATGTATGTGGTGTATGGTAACTAGATAAAACAAAATAGAGTAAGGAGGGAGTCTTCTATGGAGAGATGTGGAGTGCAAAAGACTTTGATTGAGGAGAACCTTTCTGAGATGGATTGGGATATTGGTAGATTTATGAACAATGTGTATGTATTAATGTGCCTGTGAGGACAGGAAGGCTGGGAAGAAGGTGGGCAAACATACTGGAGTGAATGATATGGAATTAAATGCAGAATAGGGCCAGTGAAGAACAGAGGTGCCATAGGCACAATCAGAGAACACTGTATAAACATCAGAGTTGTTCAACGTCCTACCAGCAAGCATAAGAAATATTGCCGGAACAACCGTAGACATCTTCAAGAGGAAACTAGATTTATTCCTCCAAGGAGTGCTGGACCAACCGGGCTGTGGTGAGTATGTGGGCCTGTGGGCCGCTCCAAGCAACAGCCTAGTGGACCAAACTCTCACAAGTCAAGCCTGGCCTCAGCCAGGCTTGGGGAGTAAAAGAACTCCCAGAACCCCATCAACCGGGTATCAACCAGGTACCTGGGAGTTAGACAGCTGCTACAGGCTGCTTTCTGGGTGTGTGTGTGGGGGGGGGATCAGTTGATTGACAGCTGAGAGATGGGCCAAAAGAGCCAGAGCTCAACCCCTGAAAGGACAACTAGATGAATACAACTAGGTGAATATAAGGGTTTTATGCAAGTGATAAAGCACCAATGAGGACGTCACAGCGAGCGTATCCAGTTGTAGCTGAGCGCCACCCATGCTCACTCGTGTCTCCAGTTCATCTCCAATTTATATAGATGATACATAGATGAATCATTTTCTGGGTTCAGTGATGATGCATCTGATACAAGTTGCATAGATGAACAGTATTAGCATCTTCCATGGTGGTGTTTTCCATAGAACTTTTCAAGACTACCTTGTAAATTGATCTTTTCCTATAACCTTTTCAAGACTACCTTACAGTTCACAAACTTGGCTACATACCACCTACAGGTACTAAAGCCAAGAGTGTATGTGAGTGCATTATTTGCAAGCACACAGAATGAAGAAACAGGAAGTGAAAATCTGTTTGTACCTGGTTCATTGAGAGCAAAGTTATGCTGTGTATCATGGACTGGTTCGTTGATTATCACTCACTTCCGAAGTACTGAGTGTAATACAGTGTGTGACTGTATAAATAGTGTGTGAAACTGTTCATATTGTAATTTTAGTGAATTTTGAACAAGTAATATTGCAACGATAAACATTTATGAGTATTGTGGACACATTACTGACACTTGTATCACAGTTCCATGGAACATTATGAATGTGTTACTGTATAATATTGTAAAGAACACATATATATGCATCAGACACTATACAAAAAACTCATTATAATGGATTGAAAATACATAGAAATATTATATGTAAATATACTTGTGGCAACTTGTGAGGCTTGAATGGCATCTGGGAGCTTCACGCACGGGCGACCAACCCATGACACACGACTTTGTTCACATCCCCACAGCCAAAGTAAATGGAATTTGATATATTTTTTTATGTACATGTTCAGGGAAGGGAGTTGATCATTTTACAAAGAGTTTTCTATTTTTTTTTTTTTTTTTTTTTGCGAATACAATACTGTACTTGATTTTCGGCGCACGGGAAATTTCCCAATAAACGCAGCGCATCACAGATGTTAATTTATTTGTTTAATAATATCTAAGTAAAGAAATGTTTTGAAAATATGTAATAATTTTTATTTAGTATTTTCTACTGAAGGCAAGAAAATAGGTTAATCTTAAAAAAAAAAAATATATGTATGCAAAAGTAAAGAGAAAGGCATATCTACCTTTGTATTAACCTGATGAAATCTGGATTATCAGTCAACAGCATATGATGCTTTTATTATTCACTTCCTTTCGTTAAAAAATAATGATATCACTGTACACAATGTAAGGGATTACCTGGCTACCTGTTGACTACTTGTTGGGGATTCCGAGGATCAACAACCTCAAGGTTGCTGGTGGCTGTTCAACCAGGGTGTCAGATGCGGCCGCTCGCAGCCTGACGTACGAGTCACAGCCTGATTGATCAGGTATCCTTTGAAGGTGCTTGTCGAGTTGTTTATTGAACACAGAGAGATCGGCCAGTTATGCCCTGTATGTCTAGGGGAAGTGTTGAAAAGTCTTGGGCCTTTGATGTTGATCGAGTTCTCTCTCACAGGGCCTATTGCGCCTCTTATTTTCAGGGAAAATGCAAAATAAAAACAAAATCTTATATTTCCATCTGCTGTTGCGACTATGCTTTCTAAAGTGGTGAGCAGCAGCTTCCGTGACTGTTGGGCAATGCAACTGATATGCACGAGCATCAGCATTTGAATAGTGAATAAAACAATAGAAACTCACATGAGGAGTCACTGTTGCCACCAATACCATAATCGTAGTGGGTTGTAGTTTAAGGGGCCGGGCACTGGCGTGAGGGAATGATCCTATCTGTTGCTGTTGACATATCAGTGAATAGGGAAACTTTGTCTCCACATTTTACTTCCTAACTTTTTTAAATGTGCAATTTTAAATCTCTTGGTGTGAGAGGGAATATCAGCTTATGTCTGTTTGACCTTGTGGGTGTGAATTTCAGCCAAGGGTTACTTAATGGTGTGAGTGAGAGAATTATCAATGGGGGGGGGGGAATGCCAAGCTATTTACAACTATATAGTACTTGGAAGGGGTCAGGATAAGGATTTGGGATGGGACTGGGGAAAGGAATGGTGCCCAACCATTTGGACGGTCAAGGATTAAACGCCGACCTGCATTAAGGGAGACCGTCGCTCTACTGTCAGTTGGTATTACTGTGAAGTGAATTAGTTAATTGTATTACAGGTCTCAGTTGATGGTGTGAGTAAATGGCAGCATTGGCCTTGTCTAATGGTACGAGTGTACAGCAGCATAAGCTTTAGTTTAATAAATACAATGAATAACTATAAAAAAATTGGCTTGTTTGAAGAACTGGTTATTTTTTTTTTTGTACTGTAAATTTATAGAAGTAAATGTTAAATGAATCTGTTGATGTCTTTCATCAACTCTACAGTATTTTGTAATGTAAAAGAGCTACATATCTTTTATGATAGAATTTTAAATTATGAAACTCTGCTTAGTGATTAAAATACAGTTCCTGTACGTTATACAATAGCTGGGATTATTTTGTTCTAAACATCAATACTTTGGCAAACTTCATTGAAGTTAATCATTAGATTAGTATTGAAATGTTGGTAGAGCTGTAGCATAGTTAATCTGTGTACTGTTGTGCTCTTGTCTTCATTAAGTTATAGATGCATAGACAATTTCATTATGTTTTTAAATAGAATTGATTGTTGTTAAAGCCTCTTTGTTAACCTGTGGGAAGTTTGGCTCATTAATTAACACTTTCGTTGTCCCGGCGGGCGACACGAACTCGCCACCACACAAAAATGTTTATACTCTTTTTTTTTTCAGCTTTCTGACCTCAATTTTCGTGCTACATATTTCAGTTTGGTATTACATTGTTCACAATAGAATGCTGTAAAGGGTTATTTGCATATAAGAACATAGAAGTCTCACTTTTCTATACTTTCAATGAAACTCAATAACTTTTTCCTGATAGGTGTTTCTTTCAATACTTTCTTCATGGATTGACTCTGTTCTTGATCAGTATCCATCTGGAAGTCAATTTCCAGTGTTTATAAAGCCGGTAACAACAAATACCCGAGATAAAATAACCGGAATGGGGAAACTTTTTTGACTCAAGGGGAGGCCGCGGCTGTCACGAACGAGGTCACAAGAACAGTGAGTCTCCAGCGTGGGTGGGCGCCCACACAGTGGGGTCAGGATGCCACATGGGGAATACAGACACTGGGAAGAAGTTGGTGCTCATTTTAAAACATGTCCCATAGTATTCAGACAATAAATAGAATTTTTATAAATGTTAAAATTATTGATGCCGTTTGCATCATCCCGCATACTCCGTATTTTGGTTTTACGACGGAGTATGCCGCATTAGGCAGCGAAAGTGTTAAGGCATAGGTAGTATTGCAAATATAATTTGTATTGTATTTTATGCTCATTATCAAGGGCACTGTATTGTTGTTTTTGTTATTTTTAAGCTACTTTATAAATTATTCTGATTCACAGCAATGGTTCAGGTATCATTTAATTAGTGCATTTAAAAATATTTTATTTTAGGTGTAAATTTCTAATTTGTTAATTGTAGCATACCTTTATTTCTTTCAATCACTATATATATTTTTAGTCATTATAAATGGAAGAGCTACAAATTACCTTTTTAATGTTTTGAATTAGCCATTGATGCTGACCATGTTCAAGCCTACTTAATATTTTTTGCTTGCCAATAAGCATAACTTTGATCTCATTATCTTCTAACATTGCAGGGAGTGACTTTGAGAGCAAGTTTCATTTCCATACCGCTCAGCACTTTCCATTGCCAATCATATACCAGAACTGCACCAAGACGTACCCTAGCAAGAATGGTAAGAAAGACAGTCGACCTACTGAGCAACCTCCAGAGGCTCCATCACACCCTCCATCCTCACCTCAGAGTTCACCTGCACCCTTATTCACTACTCCGAATCTAATGTCTACTACTTCGGGTTTATTTCCCAGTTCTCCCCCCAGTCTTGAGAACAGTTCTTTTCCTAGTTTTCCTCCCAGTCTCCCTCCCAGTCTCCCTCCCAGTCTCCCTCCCAGTCTCCCTCCCAGTCTCCCTCCCAGTCTCCCTCCCAGTCTCCCTCCCAGTCTTCCTCCCAGTCTTTCCCCCAGTTTTTCTCACAGTCTTCCTCCAAATCATCATTCTAATTTTTCCAGCCTTCCGCCCAGCCTTCCGCCCAGCCTTCCGCCCAGCCTTCTTCCCAGCCTTCCCCCCAGCCTTCCCCCCAGCCTTCCTCCCAGTCTTCCCCCCAGCTTTCCTCCCAATCTTCCTCCCAATCTTCCTCCCAGTCCTCATTCCAGTCTTAATTTTCGTAACCCTGCCACTATTCCTGGTAATTTTAATAAAAGTGCCATTGATTATCCAGCAAACTTTTCGTCATCTTGGAACACTCGACATTTCCAGTAATTTTGTACATCACTGATGATTTGTGCATAATAGTAGATCTATTTAAGATGCAGTATTTCACTCCCACATAGGGGTGAGTAGTGAAAGATTCACATTGGTTGTCTTAGGGGTTTACATGTCTGCTATCTTGATATCTAGAATCTGAATGAAGGTATCTACCTTGATTCATTCCTGAGTAGAAATGAGTGAGTATGCTTCTTGAATGTGTGCGCGCACTTGTGTGTGTTCTCTGTTTTTGGCTGAAAGAAAGGCAAATCAATTTTAATTTAGCCTAAGAAAAGATAAAATAATATAATACAAACAGGAAAAAAAGCAGGCTGACTGTAGCTTTCCACGTGTAATAGATTCGATAGATTCTCTAGCAGGTAAACACAGTGGAGTTATAAGTAATCACAGAAAGTTGTCACTGGAGCAATGTTTGGGTTAGTGGTTATTGTAGGAATGCTCGTGTGCAGACCAGAAGGTACCTGGGGCAAATGTGACTTGGATTTTTGTTTTATATAAATTGTTTACTTTATTCAAGTGTTTACTTTTTTGTAACCCTTAGTGATGTGCTTCATGTCAGTGGATTCACGAGCCAAACTCTCGCCTTGCTAGTTGTCATTGATTGGCATTTGGGGATTTCCGACACCTAAGTATCCAAATGTTATCATATTATTCTGGTATCAAGATAAATGTCAAAGCCCTGATATTCACTTGGAAAATGCCCCTTGTGTCATCGGCCTATATGGAAGTAAATTGAAAGACATAATGGATAGATATTTATGTGGCAGCTTGCTTTTGTAAGAGAATCAAGATTTTACTTAGTGCATATGATTTAGGTTATAATTATAAATCATTGCCTAGTATCCATATACCGCTTCTCCATGCATAGCTCTTTCCCATATGGTCTTTGTAAGCACTTAAGCTACTCACAAATGGGGCCTGATGTGCTCTTGTACTCTACTGTACTCTACTCTATGGCCCTTTGTGCCATATGGTGCGTGTTTGCTTCAGTAACTATCATCCACACGGAACAAACACACACACTAGAGGTAGCACGGGGCTATATGGGTCCCTTTCAGAACCACTGCTCTAGATAATGCTCAGAATTAGAGTTTGATATACAGACTTTAAAATTATAATAAAGGTTATAAAGATTTTGTAAGAAACAACAACCCAACCACCACCTTCCTGTTGTATCTCTGTGGCTCTATCATAAAAACTAAGAAGATTTGTTACACAGGATCTTCCTGTTCAAAAACCATACTGTCTGTACTTACCTATTTGTGCCTGCAGGATCAAGTGTTGGCTCTTGAATGTTAATAAACCCTGGATGAATGTTAGTGAAGTGTACAGGTTTAGAAGTGGCAGACAATGCTGAAAAGCAGTTTTTCTTTGGCATGACCCTTAAGAAATTCCCTTAAAGGGAATTGCTATTATAAACAACTTTTTTATTAACTCAGAGAATTTGTAAACATTGATGCTGGTCAATTATATACAATTTAATTCCTAATTTAAAATGAAGATTTCAGAGAATGACGAACAAGTACAAAATTGTCTTATTATGCATAGGCAGAACTAACACAGCTCCAAGTGTTATCAGCAATTACCTCTGGCACACAAATGGCCATATGCAATTTCTTCCATTTGATTTGTTGACTATAGGTTAATAGTCATAACCTATAGTCAATAACATTCCAGGGTTTTGCCGTGCACACCGTGATATGCCTGTCAAAACTGAGCAGGCCAGGGGTTAAAGCCATGGAAAATGATACAGTTCCAAGATGAAATAAATACATAAGCAAGTTAAACAATTAGAAAATATCTGGATACTTTATGTTTATATTTTGTATTATATTATGTTTATCACGAGGTTTATGGTGCACCCCTATTGGTACATTGCATTTCTTTTCATATTATTGCATTTCTTTTCATATTAGTGCTTGATTGATTTTGATAAATCGTTTATTACTGCATATTTTTTGCATGACATTTTGTTTGTTGTTTACTTTAGGAAGCATAAAGTTATATGCAGGTAACATAGCTATTGGCAATTTTAGAAATAAAATCAGTAAGGAAACACTTCCCCTTTTTTTTCAGATATTCCTTTCTATCTTCATAGTTCATATTTACATCTGTCAAGTTTCACTGCTGAAGGCAAGAGAATCTGCATGACTAGTGTGGTGTGTTTGTTTGATCATGAAGCTCACTTACATATATTAGGCAGTGTTTCTCTTGACTTTTTTTTATGTTGAATAACTAACATCTTTTTCCTCAAAACTTAATTTCAGTAATACAAAGCAAAACATAAACAAAATCTAGATGTTGTAGATGCCACATGGTGCCAAAAATGTGGATGGTATACAGCAGACATTGGAACACCTCTGTTCTACCTATTAGAGAGAGTTTGCTTGCTTAACCTCTAAATGGCGCAACTATTTAGAGGTTAAGCAGACCCCTTAATGCTGTGGTATTATGAATAGAGATTAACTGTGTAAAGTTTAAGATGGGATAACTGGTACAACTATTGAGCAATGAGGGCAGCACATCGGTACTGATGAGGGAGATGTGGTGGTGACAGGTGTGTACTGATAGTGGTGGTGACAGGTGTGTACTGAGAGTGGTGGTGACAGGTGTGTACTGAGAGTGGTGGTGACAGGTGTGTACTGATAGTGGTGGTGACAGGTGTGTACTGATAGTGGTGGTGACAGGTGTGTACTGATAGTGGTGGTGACAGGTGTGTACTGAGAGTGGTGGTGACAGGTAATTACCTAATTGTAGTTACAGGATGAGAGCTATGCTCTTGGTGTCCCATCTCTCCAGTACTCTGTCATATGATGCTTTGAAACTAGGCATTTTTGGCATCCACTACCACTTGTTCCATCCATCTACATGTAGGTGATAGTGTGCAAATTTTCTGGTAGCGACAGATATGTGCAGGTAGTGGTGGTGGTCTGTGTACAATAAGAGATTATTACAGATTTGTGAAGGTAGTGATGATAACATGTACAGTTGGTATGGGCAACAGTTGCTGGACCCTTTCAACATCCCCCCAACAGGTCACAAGCATTTAGCCTCTACACAATGATTTAAGCAAAATCTGTCCTAGCTGTTTCAGTACCAATAAGAACAAAAATATAAAATAACATATTGGAACAGAAAACACGATCTATACTGGAGTAGATTATGCTAGACTCCATCAGATGCAAGAGGAGATTCAATACAAAATACCTTGCATGGTTTTTATTATCAATTTTTTTGTTATTTTCATCTGATAAAACATTTTAAAAAACACAATTTAATAAACAAAGAAATTTTTTTTATGCAGATATAATTAAATATGTACTGTAGAATGTAGCAAAGATGGCAGACTTTCCTCCTGGATTGCAACAGTGAAATATAATAACATCAGCAATGTACAAAACAGTCAAGCAGAAGAATGACTTTCAAGAACCTAAGCAAAGAATCATTTAGAATTCTATACAAGGCATATTTTAGGCCAGTCATGGAATGCACAGCTCCAGTATGGATCCCACACTTGGTAAAGTGCAAACAAGAATATTTAGAACAAGGATATACCACAAGATGAGTACAAAAGTTAAGAGAAAACTAAATATAATGACATTGAAAGAGTGGAGAACTTTTCCATATGGAAATTGGAAACATTAATCAAAGAAATTTTATAACTAGTTGTGATGTGAATTTTCTAGAATTTCCTGTAGCTAACTGCACTGAGATAGCTCTTCACTTATAAGTAACATCAGCTCTTGCGTGTCCTTTGTGAAGACCTCGAGGAGAGTTCCTGGATATCATTCAACCCTTCTTGGTATCTGGTTCCTTCTCAGAGTTTTTTTCTTTAATGAAGTTTGTTTACAAACTCTCCTCTTGTGTCTGGGGTCTTTGGGTCAGGAGTCTACCCCTTCGACTCTGTTCGGTCATCTGAGGTGGTAAAGTTAACTGCCTATCTTATGTTGATGATTGAGCTTGATTCCTTGGCTGTCCCATCCCAGGTGCACTTCTGAGTTCTGTTAGAGTGTTCAAATGCATTTTATTTCAGTAGGTTTCTGTTTTCCCCACCCCTTCACCCTGGTCACACTTATTTCTCAGTTCCTTCGGCAGGATTGGGACCTCGCTTTCTTCACTTATGTCTCCTTTTGAGTTCAAGTTGGCTTTGGCTTTTAAGGTTCCTGCTTCTTCCGGTTTGCAGACAAACTTTTATTTTCCTTGTGGGCTTGGCATTGTTTTTTACATACTTTGAACCCTTGCGTGATGAGAGTTGGGCTCCGTCTTTCGGGTTTTCTTGGGCGGTATGACTTTTGTGCCACTTGATTCTTGCTTGTTTGCTCTTGTCCTGCCCTTGGATGTGGACATGTGGCAACTCCATGTGCAGCTGCCTTTACTTTCTTGGGCTCAGGATCACAGAGCCCCATGTTCATTTGGCATCCATGTGCACATCTGGACAGTGTGCACATGGGCTGTGATTGAGCTGTTCTCCAACCAGCTCCAGGGCAGCCGCGATGTTTTGACTTGCGTGCTGGGTGTTGTGGCCTTGTTACCTGTGGTTTTGGCTTTGGAGAGTTTGCCAAAGATGCTCGCTCCTCTCCTCTGGGAGGCAGTTGCAACTTCTTTATGGCTCATCTCACATTCCAAAATATTGGGGTTGCTCAGGCTTTAGATTTGGCTTGGTTCCTTCCCTTTCTGTACACCTAATGACTTTTCATCTCTCTTCTTTCCAGAGGTGGCTGTCTCTTCAGTGATTTCAGTTGTTGCTATTGATTTCCAGTCCCTTAGTTGGATTCTTCACACAAGGTTTCTGTCCCTGCTGCTTTGAGATGGCTTTATTGGGTTCAGGCCTCATCTGTGTTTGGTGGAGTTCTCAGGGCTGTAGTGCTTTCTCTGGTATATGCCTCTTTTAGTCAGTGTTGTTCTCATGCTTCCTGAATGGGTACATCTGCTCAGAGGTATTTGTACTGGATTTGCAAGGGCTGATGTGACTTACAGGTGTGTAGCTATAACTGTCTGGCTAGCAAATTTTTTTATGAAAAGTTTGGAGTTTAGTGTGAAGTAAGGGAGAACTGGTGGCATTGGTTCAGGGTAAACAGTACAACAATTGGCACTACCTTCGATATTTTTCACGGGTTCTACAAAGCACCTATTTGCTCTTGCATCATTCTTTGACCACTATTCCCATTAAAAGTGATCCCCACTTCTCACTCCTCTTTGAGATCCTGACTCTTTGCCCAAACGTCGCTCTCTCTGTTCATGTTGGCAATGTGTCCCCTGTCTTGTGTGCATCTCACCCCAGTGAAGAATTCCCCTTGTTCAATTTTGTGAAGCTCTCACTTGTACAATGTGTACTTGAACCCCTCAAATTTTGGAGGGGAAACCTGGTGAATGGATTTGGCACATTGTTCATAGGAACCCATTATATGGAGATCTGCATAGGGCAGTGCCACTGTTGTATAACACATGCACTTCTGTCAAGCCCTAGTCTTTTTAACCATTATAATTTTGTAATGATCAAGATCCAACATTTGTTGTATCTCATGTTCAGCACATTTAGGACAGTTAGAGTTTTGCTGGGTTTCCCACCATGTTGGTGTTCAGTGATCTTACAGATGTCCCAGCAGAACAGAATACTGTATAAGCAAAAACAAAAATATACTTATAATAGTTTATGTATATAAACATGGGGCAGTTAGCGGTTCCCACTCAGCAATTCGTAAAACTGTTTACAATCATTTAATCTTTTCTCAGTTATTTGTTGGGTTATAACTATAAATTTTATATAAAAAATGTTTGCAAATGTCTCCAGAGAACAGATGCAAAAAAAATAAATAGTATTTATTATTGTGCACAACAGCAATGAACATACGAAAGTTTTGTGAATAGCAATTGGATGACACATTTTAGTATCATTGGAAAGCTTACTGTTGGATTATAGATAAAACGTTTGTGTCATCAGAATGTAAAAGTGATAAATTATTAAAACAATGAAGAGGGAAGGCTGCGACAATAACAATGACATTGATTTTGGCACAGCGGGTATATGTTCATGTCAGGCGCAAATGAGACCCTCTGTGTGACCGACTGTAAAAAGTTATGTTTGTTAGATCTGAGAAATCCACCATTGTATTCACATTAATTAATACGGAAATAATCCAACATATTCATTGGTCCAAACAATGCAGTACTTGCTACATGAATAACCTGTACTAATTATTAACACAGAATGTGATTAATAATTCTAAAATAAATTAGTTATATAGAAAGTGTGTTACTGTAATTTATATGTATATTGTTTTGTTTATGCATGTGTGTATATAAATTTTTAAGGGTGCATTAATTGGATGTGTGTGTGCAATGCGTGTTCCAACTTAAAGTGTATTATAACTACCATTTTTTTGGGTTATTTTACTTGTTTTCACATTTTATGCTTATATTTACAATACATATAGTTGAGGTTAACCCCATTTTATGCTTATATTTACAGTACATATAGTTGAGGTTAACCCATGCAGGCTCCAAGTGCAAAAGTGTGCATTTACGTCATAATTACTTTATAACAGGCATGTCAAACATGCAGCCTTTTGCAAGCACACCTGCGGCTTGCACAAAGGATACTGTAATTTGGTGTATAATTTAATATTATAGAGCAAATATTCTGCAAATTTTTTTAATTCAATGACTTCAATCAGTTGTGGTGTGTGGCCCCCCTCTTGATAACACAAATGTGACCCATATGACCCTCGGGGGACCCTCAGTTTGACATGCCTGCTCTATATCATCTAGTCATAATTACTTTTGCATCCACTTTTACTTCACAATGTTGGTGCATTATTACTTAATAATAAAACATTTTCTAAGTCTCTTGATTTATAAGCAGTAGTACGTACTGCAGATAAAGCTGCACACAATTCACATAGATGTTAGCTTACATGCATCGTACACAATTTAATAATAGTTTTATGTATAATTTATATTAAGTGTGTAGTACACTGTACACATTGTGTTGTACTTTCCTTGTTTTTTTTCTTTTGTATGGACCTATGCCTGTGATTTTGTGCACAGTATTTATGTAT